CTGTCCTGGAACTAGCTCTTGTAGACCAGGCTGGTCTCGAACCCACAGAGAACCACCTGCCTCCGCCTCCCGAGCGCTGGGATGAAAGGTGTGCACCACCACTGCCTGTCAATAATGTTATTATTATTATTGTAGTGTATGTTTGCATATGTTTATACGTGTGTGTGTTTGTGTGTGTGTGTGTGCATGGATACCACTTGGTGTGTTTATGTACATACATGTGCACATGTTTGTTTGTGTGTATGAATGGATATCATTGTGTGTTTTCATGTTCATGTGTTCATGTGTTTATATGTGTGTACATATTTGTGTGTATATATATCCCCATATATATACATATATGTGTGTGTATACATGTTTGTATATGTGTGTAAGCATGGATACCACTCTGTGTGTGTATGTATGTATATATATGTGTGTGTGTACATATTTGTGTGTGTATATGCATAAACACTACTGTGTGTGTATGTATATACATTGTACATATTTGTGTGTGTGTATGTATGGATACCACTGTGTGTATGTAGGCATATATACTACTATGTGTGTACATGTTTGTGTGTATGTATATGTACAGACACTACTGTGTGTGTATGTATATACATGTGTACATGTTTGTGTGTGTATGTAGTCATGGATACCACTGTGTGCAAATGGAGTTCAGATGACAACCTCAGGTATCAGCCCTCACCTTCCATTTAATTGAGGAAGGGTCCCTTGTTGTTTGCTGCTGTGTACACCAGGCTAGCTGGCCCATGAGCTTTCAGAGATTCTCCTGTCTCTGTGCCCCATCTCATCATGGAAGCACTAGGATTACAGGTACATGCTACTGCAGCCAGCTGCATGTGGGCTCTGAGGATTCGAACTCAGGTTTTCACACTTGTGAAGCGAGTGCTTACCCACTGGACCACCTCCCTCCATCCTGATCAAGCATCTTGAAACCCAACTCTGGCTTACCTGGCAGCTTTGGCGCTTTGATGGGGTAACCCAGTGGGACACCAGGCTGCTGTCCCCCAAAGGGCCCAACTCCTGCAAGAATAGAGAGGGTACATCAGTCCCAGGCCTCATGGTGGCAGTTTCTTTTCATGATCCTGGCTGTCAGCCTACTCTTTCCAGATGGAGTGAATTCATTCCCTATGGTACTCTGAAACTGTCCTGCCTAGCAGGCCTCATTGTCCCTTCATCATGGGTCAGGGAAGTGCTCCCCAGAAATAAGCTAATGACTGGCAGGAGTGGAGAGACACACTCCTACACTCATCTGTGCTGACCTTAGGGCACTTCGGGTATTTCGTGCATTTTGGATTCACACTGATGGACTTTGGGTTAGAGCAATGGTTCTCAACCTTCCTAATGTTGGGACCACTTTAGTTCCATTCCTCATGCTGTGGTAACCCCAACCATAAAATTATTTTCATTGCTACTCCATAACTGTCATTTTGCTGCGGTTATAAATCATAATGTAAATATCTGATATGCTGGATATCTGATAAGTGATCATTGTGAAAGGGTCATTCAATCCCGAAAGGGGTCGTGACCTACAGGTTGAGAACCACTGGGTTAGGCGATCATGGCCTGGAACTGATGACACTTTGGTAGAAGCCTGGCTTTTGTTTTGTTTTGTTTTGTTTTTTAATTTTTAGAACGTGGAATATGGGGATTGATCTTAGGTCCTCATACTTGTGTGATAAACACTCCACCAAGGCAGCTAAGAGATATGAGAGAGATGGGCAGGATGGCTAGGTTTCTGGGAGTCTAGCTCACCTAGGGAGAGCAGCTTCAACTCACCTGGGATTCCAGCAAAAGCACCACCTCCACCTGCAAAGACAAAGAACTGCCACTGGTCCACACTCCCAGCCCCTCCCTAGGGGAGTCTAGGCAAGAGCTCCACCCCTAAGGCTCATCCTGCTCCCATTCATTCAGTAGTTTTTTGTTTGTTTGTTTTGTTTTTGTTTTTTGAGACAGGGTTTCTCTGAGTAGCTCAGGCTGTCCTGAAACTTGGAGACCCACCTGCCTCTGCCTCCTAAGTGCTAAGATTAAAGGCATATACTACCACTGCCTGGCTTACTAGGGATTTCTAAGCAAGTGCTCTACTACTGAGCCATACCCCTCAGCGCTCTATTTACTTTTAATTTGAAACAGTGGTAAACTAAACTGCCCAGGCTGGCCTTGAACTTTCAAGCCTCCTGCCTCAGCCTCCTGAGTTGCTTGGGATTATAGACCTATGCCATTAGGCCAAGGTTACTCTTCAGGGTTTCTGAACAGCATTCTGCCCTTCCTAGCCAGCAGAAGCAGGGCTGGGACATAAGAAGTAACTCCCTGTAACCACAGAAGTCCCCAGATAAGCCTAGAATCTCAAGGTATCCCTTACACCCAAGGCCAGCTCAGCCTGCAAGCTGACAGAGGATCCTACCCTGGCCCCAGCACAGCTGGCGATACATACCTGGAACCTTAGCCTTGACTCCTGTGCCAGTGGGAACTCCAGGGAGCACCCCCACACCTGGGAACCGAGCTCCTGAGCAGCAAAGACATGGGTGACAGTGAGGGAAGGAAACTCTGCTTGGCAATCCATGCCCACCTTCTGACTATTAACCAGTCTATCTCAGTACTGATGGCCGATCACAGACATGACTCACACACAGGGCAAGGAAAGTAAGTACCACTTTGTGTGGACTTTCTTCCCCTAGGTGGCTCTAGCTCAGAGGATTTTATTTATGTATTTATTTATTATTTTTTAGTGGTGTTGTGAATTGAATTTAGGGTCACAAACATGCATCAACCCCTCACTGGGGTATTCTAGGCAGGTGCTCTACCAATGAGCCACACCCCCAATGCTCTTCTTACCTTTTGAGACAGAGGCTGGCTGTTACCTGGGCTAGACTTGAATTTCTGATTCACCTATCTCAGCCTTCCAAATGGTTGAGGTAGCATGCATGTGCCACTAGTCCTGGCTGGAAGATCTGACTTTTAATCCCAGATCAACTGAGTTCAATCTCAGCCTCTGTGGACCTCAACTGTAAATTATAGATCCAGGAGAAAAGGCACAGAAATCTATAGCCACATATTTTGAATGTGTCTGATCGAAGAAGCTAACTAAGCAGGATGGGGGTGAGTTAATACTTGGATGGGAGAAAGCATAGAGGCCCAGCCAGTGTGATGTGCCTCATAGTGGCTACCTCTCAATGGATTGGAATCTGCAGAACTCTCCCGCCTCTCCTGCCTCCCCTGGGGCTTGGCTGCCTCAACCAGGAAGGAAGGGGTGCTCTGTCAGCAAATCCCTGAATCTGGGCTTTTGGGGGATTTCAGGAGGCCTTGCTGGTGGGGAGGTAGGTCCTGGCAGGGAAAGAAGTGAGGGACAGTTCTTAGGGGTCTCCTGTAGGGCAGACTTCCTGGGCGTGCCAATGACTCAGGGCTTTTGGGAAAAAGCTGGCTACACTAGGGACTCCATCTGTCCTCTGGGGATGGTTTTAAGGCTGTGATGAAGATGTTGGCCTGGGGTGAGGGATTGGGTGGGGCTGGGGAAGCTGACCTTTGTTGCCAAGGACCTAATGTTCATTAAGTTGAACTTGGACACTTAGGGAAGCAGCTACTGGCCTCAGCTGGTCTTAGCTTCAAGAGGAGGGGGAACCAGAGGCTACATTCCCAACTAATTTTCTTTCTTCCTTTTTTTTCTTTCTTCCTTCCTTTCTTTTTTTCTTTCTTTCCCTCTCTCTATTTTTCCTTTTTTTTCCCCTTTCTTTCTGATAGAGTCTTATGTAGTTCAGGCTGGTCTAAAACTTGTTATGTGGCCAGGGATGACCTTGAACTTAGGATCCTTCTGTCCCTACCTCCCACATGCTGGCATTATAGGAGCACATCACCATAAATGGTTTATGAAGTGCTGGGGATGGAACCCAGGGCTTCGAGTATGCTACGCAAGCACTGTATCCACCGAATCATCCTCAACCTACTCTTTTAAAAAATTATCTTTATTTTGTGTGTATGGTATTTTGCCTGGGTGTATGTCTGCATACCGCATGCATGCCTGTGCCCTTGGAGAACAGAAGAGTCTCAGACAGTTGTCAGAGGCCATCTGGTGCTGGGAATTGAACCCAGGGTCCTTTGGAAGAGAGCCTGTACCTTTAATCATTGAGCTACCTCTTTAGCTCCACTTTTTGTTTTTTGAAATAGAGTCACATTATGTAGCCCAAGCTGGCCTCAAACATAAGATCCTTATGCCTCTGCCTTCAAAGGGCTGGGATTAAATGCATGAACCCCCACACCTGGCTTATGTGATGCTGGGGATGGAACCCATCCTAAGTAAACACTGTATCAACTGAGCTAAGCCCCAGCCCATCCCTCTTGCTCTCACCTGTGCCTGGGAGCACTCCACCTGGATATACACCTGGAAGACCAACACCTGGAGGCAAAGGAACAAGAAACTTTAGCAGAGGTTCTGTCATCCCACCAGATAGCAGCAAGTGGTCTTGGACTTGCAAGTCAGTGTGCCTGCTGGGGAAGCTAGGGACAGACATAGCATGACCACAGCCCTCTCTGCTCCATGGCAGAGAGCCGGCACATCCTTTGGAGCACTGATTTAACTGTCTTCGGAGCCCACAGCCTGTTTACGCAGCCCAGCCAGCCCACCTCAAGTCTAAAGGCTTCCAGATGTTCGCCTTTTATTTAACCTGAAGTCACTTCCTAAAGATCATTGGGCCAAATGAGCACCAGATGGGAGTGCCGCAGGCTGCTGGGCTCCCCTCCAGCTCTACCGGGAACAGCTGTGGGCCCTTCTGTTCTGACTCAACATTTAAAACCTCAGTTTCCCTATCTGTGATCCAGAGCCCATCTGTGAGGTCTGTTTTTGCTCCAAGATCATAGAGATTTTTAGAAGCCAGGCTCAAGTCATTCAGCCCCATTGCTCGAACAGGTCTGTCTGCTTTGAA